CAACCTTGCCCACATGGCATCGAGCACTGCACCCCTTTGGAAAACCAGGCTAGAAATAAAATAATCGCTTGGGGACAAGGTTGTTACAAAGTAGCGCTTGCATGCATGGCGCATGTGTCCATGTACATGTACTGCAAATTCAGTGAGTGTGTATTACGGGAACCAGACTAGTAGACACATTGCATTTTACATGTATCTTGTGCATGATGACCTTATGGATGGCGGTGCGGTTGCACCCGCTGCCAATATTGTTGTTATTATTATTATTTCTTATTTATACTGGGTGACTCAGTTCATAAAAAAACAAACTGTTCTCCCATGAGTCACAATGAACAATCATAAGACAAGAGAAAAAGAGAATTAAAATTGAACCAGATGAAACTACATACAGTGTATCTATAGATAAAAATACAAAGAATGACTGAAATAATACGAGTAAAGAAAACTAAAAATAAAAAGTAAGCAGAGTATCAATTGTAAATTCACAATAACAACATTCAAAGGAGCTGATTTTCAAAAAATACTCAAACTTGTTGGGATGGGATGCTTTAATGCCACAGGCAGTTTGTTCCAAGCCTGCACACCTCGAAATTGGAATGTTCTCTTCCCAAATTCAGTCCTTGGGTGAGGGAGACAGAGATTACCCTCCACACAATGCCTAGTATGATAAGAGTGCTGATCGCTCACATAAGAAAACAAAGTGCCAAGGTAATCTGGAACGAGGCCACTTAAACATTTATAAACCATTATATTCAGACATGTCAGATGGCGTTCACGTCTGATGTACATGTATAAGCGATCCCATCCCAACTTGTTATAAACGAAAACACGAGGTGTTCTTGGTGGAACCTTCAAGATGACCCTTCCTGTTTGATTGAACGAAACATCGAGACGTTGCACTTTAGAAGCTTGCTGAAGGCGTGCATGTACATGTTTGAAGGCACGCATGTACACGTACAGAGCAGTGCATAACATGAAGCGGAATGTCGATTGGTGTTTCAGGTCAGTTCTAAGGGTGACACATGATGTTCACCAAGAGGGGATCCACAGCCATGGCAGACAAGGGGCAGGCCATTTTTGTGGCCCTCGTGAAACTTAAGCTCTGCAATAGTGGGTAGTGTGCTGGTGTGACAGACGGTGAATTTGTCCCCCAGTCAGGGTGAGTTTTTTCTTGTTCTTCTTTTTTTTTGAAAGTTGGAGAAATCATGCGAGCGAAGTGACTGCAAAATGCACAAGCACTCATTCTGAGTTGACTTGTCTCAGTTGGCAACTTATAACAATGGTACAGCTGCATACATGTACATGTCTGTTTGAGGTACAGCTGGTCGAGTTGTCCATGGTTGTAGCTTTGGTCAAGTTGTCTCACCAGTCAACAGTCGTACCACAAATCAAAATCCTCCTAATTCACCTCCAAAACGGCCTTTAAACTGTCTAATGCACCCGGCCTAGGATTAAGCAAGAATCGGAGGTTGCAATAATAACGGTAAGGTTTACTAACATGTGGGAAGAAAAGAGAAATATCCCCTTCAAATTGGAAACACTCTTGTTATTGAGCTCAAAGTTGCCATCTTCTTTATTCATTGGTTCAAACTGTATGCTACATGTAATCTGGAGATGATGTCACAATGCATTAGCCGCGAGCAGAGCTAGCAGACCATTCACAAGAAGCATGCAATGTAGGCATGCGCATTCCCACGACTCTTTTCTAAGCAGCTCAACATCTGCTGTCCAACTCAATATGGTCATAGCTAGCTACATGTGCACAAGCCCTATGAGACTGGTCCGAAAAACTCTGTTTTCTCAGTAAATGACTTGGCATCTTTCCTCCTAAACTGAACTTTTCTGGACATGTTGTTGCTTTCTGAATATGGGGAATGATTACTGGCATCCCTATACTAACATCCGCATATGGAACTCTTCCCAGCTAAACACGGCACTGCTCAGGTAACAGTCGTTGGCATACACGTTAAGACACTGCATCCATTTTGTGAATGGTCCGCTAGCTCAGACGTGCCAGGGTGTTGTGATATTATCTCCAGGTACATGAGCATACAGTATTGAACTGCTGAATGAAGAAGATAGCGACTTCGAGCTCAATGACAAGAGCCTTCCCGATTTGAAATTTCTCTTTTCTTCCCACATGTGAGTGGGCCTAAACCTTACCAATACCATCATTATTGGAGCCTCCAATTATCGCTTGATCCTAGGTCGGTTAGACAGTTAAAAGACCGCCTAGGTAGGGACATGCATGAGTGAGGGCACTGTTTATTTGGAAACTCATTTTCTTCAATAGGAAATTGTGATTAATATTTGTCTTTTTTTTTGACACTGTAGCTTTCCTATTTATATTCCAATTTCAAAATGTTTGAAATTTGTGAAGTGAAGCCGGCATTTGATTCATTGAAATGAGGCACAAATGGGCGGTGGGGACATCCGGGAGTTTTGCAAAATGCTGGGTAGCAACCACACCACACCGATGAAAACAACTGCAACGAGCGCGTGCGTACATGTACGCACTAATCAAAGAAACAATTGTTTCCCTGATCCTCTGACTGGCTGGTGAGTGCATACGTCACCACGGTCGCTGCATTCATCGGCGCAGTGTGGTTGCTAGGGCCTACCCACCTTTTTGTGAGCGTCCCGGATGTCCGCACAAAGGAACAAAGATTTTACAGAAATATAACTTTTGATGTTTTTAGTTAAAATCCACACTTATTTTTGTGCACAAAATAATCACAGTTTGCTCTGCATTACTTGCATGACACATGAACAAACACGACAAATACATTTCAAAACATCCCCACTCCAAATTGATTTTTGTTTGCTTTGCTGAGTCCGATGGAATCCAAATTCATATCAAAATCTTTCTTATGACATCCTCTCCAAGATAACTTCAAAAATATTTAAATAAAACAGAAAAAATATTTGAAAAATATCCTTTCTAGCCTAGCCCTTGGCCTTCTTTACTTGACATGCCATGCATGCTCAGTTACTTAGGCCCAGGCCTAAGTGATAATTTCCCCTTTTTAATTGACGCTTACCTTCCTTCAGATGTTCCATCCACAATTCAATTATTTGTCTGTAGTGGTTCTTATGATGGATTATCCACAATGAGAGTGTCTGGATGCTGTCCTGCGTGTTGTTCAGAGCTTGAAATTTGCGCTTCAGACTCTCCACATTCAGACCCGCCATTTTGGTTTGCCTTGCCGCTACAAGGGCTACGCTGGCGGTCGGGGCACGTCGAACGTAACTTCACCTAAATCAACAATCAATTAAGCTGGTGTCTCGGGATCTTTCGGCTTTATTGTAAAATCAGTCAGTTACCCAAACTTGAAAAGTTTTTATTTCCAGCAAACTGATTTGGAATTTCTATGCAGTTTTGAAGGAAAGGTAAAAGTGCACGCCAACGAGCCATCATCGACACTCCGAAAAGTCGCCATTTTGAGCAGACACTAAGTCAGTGCGCACGCGCAGGAAAGTACACACGTGCGCGGTGCATTCACACATTGCACGTATTATAGCCTAGTGCATCATCTCTGGTTCTCTATGTGGCGCATGCTGATCACAATTTTGTCTTCAGAAACCTCTACGGGGCTCAAAATCCCCATCAACTTGCTCCGTACATTGGAGTGTTTGCGTTAATCTTATTCAGGTGTTGGCACACTAAATTTAAAGTCTGCTTTCTGTGAAAAAAGCGAGGACGATGAGGTTTGTGGACACAGTGTGAAAGGTGACAAGTACATGTACATGTAAGCCTACATGTACTGTACATGTATATGTTGCATTGCAGGCTTTGCCCTGTGTACGTGTGGTGCTGGCTGGATGTGCATGTTCACTGTACTGTGCACATGTACTGCAGGCCTAGGCCTACAAGTTATAACGTGATTAAATTTTGAACACTAGCACTAGGGACTAGAACGTCGAGGTGCATCATGGCTTCTGATTACAAGAAAGTGGTGGTCAGAACTGTTCCACGTGGGGATGCTGAAGTCTCTAAAGAAACTCAGTTCTGGAAGAATTTTGAGGTAGGCCTAGGTAAAATTGTAAAGTTAAAATACCCTGGTGATTCTTTTGATTCATTGATCATGTTGATTGTTTTCACAAATGAGCATGACCACAATGACACATACGCCCAGAACTGTGGGGTCCGACATCTGCCCCGCTTCCAGGGGCAGATGTCGGACCCCACAGTTCTGGGCCGGTGTGTGACGGGGCTGCCCTCATCATGCCCATTTTGCAATCTCACCTGGCCTCCATGCATGACATGTACTAGGCCTACTAACCTGTCCATCTCTGAAGTTACATGTACCCTCTCCTGCATGGGTTCGGGTTGTGTCTTGGCAAATGGTAAATTGACCTATTGCAGTACTCTTTGTGAATAGCTTGCTCTAAAACTGATACCAGATAATTGTGCTTTTCTCCCATTGAAAGTGAGTAAGCGTATGGTCCATCCAGTTGGCATTGAGCGCATGCGGTTGTACATGTACCTTACAGTGCTCTACCAACTGAGTTACATGTATGATATCCAGCCTTGTGTTGGTGACTCTTTCCATTTGTCAATATCTTTGTTCAGGGGGGTGGCTAGCTTAGAAGCAAACTAAGAACAGCATGATGTAGCCAGCAATCATACCCTAGACACATGATGCAAGCAACGTTAGTAATGTTGAAAGAAAACGTAATGTTTTTAACGTTTGAGCATTTCTTTTCAGTTCCCAGTCACAGTAAAAGAATTTGGAGCAGTCACCTGTGTTGACTTCAACCCACAGAAGCCCCATCAGTTCGCTGTCACCAGCTCAACAAGGGTATGCCACCATTGGTGTACATGTAAATGTCAGGAATTGATGACGTAGGATAGTCTTAAACACTAAATAGGTTGACCACTGAAATCTCATCTTAAATTTGTTGGGTGTGATCGCTTGATTGCTGTGCCTTTGGTTGATCTTGTGGCATACATTGCCGATCCTCCTGCCAGGTCTTTGCCAATTCTTTCTGATTCATGGTAGTTGAAGACCGTTTCAAACTTTAGAAGTACCGGCATTAACTCTTAGGTTTCCCAGAAGATGGCTACAGACGGATAGCGCATCGCAATTAACCAACTGCAACTTAAACAAGCAAATGGCTAACATGGTTGAAGGGGATTGTGGGAAGAGAAAAAGTCTAGATTGGAATGCCTTTAGTGCAGTTCATTCAAGTGGCTTGTAACTTGGATTCAGACTGAGCGTCTTGTTTGATGGCCTTAAAGGGCCTCGTCTACAACGCTGTTGGCTTGGGGTAATTGATAAACACTTGTTCACACGTGTACCTGAGCTTCTTGCTGATGGACCGCAGTTAGCACATGAACCTGTTTCAGCATTCTGACATGTCTGAAGAAAACGACCAGACCCGAGTCTTTAGATATAAAAAAAAGCTTGATCGTTACAGGTTGCCCTAAATGTCTTCTGCTTTCCTCATCCTCCTCCCTGGCCAGGTGCAAATCTTCGATCCTCTAACAAACCAAGTGGAGAAGACCCTCTCCAGGTTCCAGGATGTTGCGTACAGTGCCACCTACCGGGCAGACGGTAAGCTGCTGGTGGCCGGAGGCGAGGAGAAATCAATCCGACTGTTTGACGTCAATGGAAGGGCCATACTAAGGATATTCAAGGGACACAGTGGGTAGGTCATTGTTGGATTGCCTTCAGAACTCTTGTTTTTTTTTTAACAGAACCAACTGAAGTTCCAGTTGTTTATTTAAGAGTGGACATACATGTATGGTCCTAGTCGTCCAAAAACATAATGCGGACAAAATTGAACTAAGGGAAATGTGCTTCTGGTTTTATATTTGATTATCCGGTGGAAATTGATATATGCATGCTGAACTAACAGTTTACTGAAAATTTCTGCTGGGCTGTTTTTTCTTGAGGATTGCAACCCCATATCTGTGAAATCTTCTGTTTTAAAAACAGTGAATTCAGTCTCAGTTAGAGCTACATATAGCGAAAGTAGTGCCAACTTCAGACTTTGGAACCAAAATGGCTGTTCATTATGTGTGCAATACAGCATGCAGCTATTGTGTACTAATTGTCCATGTGCATTGATGCATAATCCACCATTTTGGTTCCACCAATTATGACACTCATGTCACAACTCTATAAACGGCTCAGCACCCGATTTCACGAAAACTTTACACAATGGCGTAACTCCACTTGCGCCACATTTTATTGCATAAGTTTAGCAACAAATTAAGACTGATTTTACAAAACTTACGCACTGTGTAAGTCCGCAACTTATGCAACAAATTATGGCGTAACTTACGCAGTCATATTAGGTGGCATAGGTTGCACCGAACGAAGCGAAAATGAATGATTTGACTCGCTTAGTGGGTGCGGTTAAGCCTCTTCATTGCTGAACTTATTAAGGATTATACGAGAAATGAACAACTTTGCTCCAGAAGGTAAAAATAAGCTTAATTGGCTGTGAGAAAACTGAGAAATTTTTTGTCCAGTTCCGACGAAGAAAGATGAAAACTTTTTCAAAATGGTGGGCGGATGCGATTCAACGACCATTATTCAGTGACTGCTATTATATTGGAAAAGAACAGCCATTGTAAAAGCCGTTTTTGTCCTCGTCCAAGAAATTAATATTATTAACCATTCCCTGCCAGGGATTCCGGATCTGGACACGTATGCTTTAAAAATGTGGCCAGGGTCTCTGAACTTGGACAAAGGAAACAGGGCCTTGTAACAAAAGACCGTACTCGGAACAAAAGACCAGGCTGCTGGGCATTACCGACATTTTTTCACTCTCAAAAGTGGAGGTAATCCAGCCTTGGTTTTAAACAGTATACCACGGTTTGGGGCATTTAGAGCGAGCGGATTACCACCGGGGACAAAAACGCTCCACCACCACAGCGATGAGCCACACAGCACCGCTGCGTGCTAATCTGGCCCTTATTGAAAAGAGGTCAGCAACGCACTGAGCCAGGTTCGTGAACAAAAGAAAGTTATATAACACCGCACAATCTGGGCTCTTTTTACAAGGCTGCAGGCCTGGTTGAAATACTCAGGCGTCAATAGATTTTGTCTGTCCGCTAGAGTGGACACCAGACAGTCCTTCATGTGTTTGTAAGTGTCCAGTAAAGGAAGATAGGAATTTTTAAAGAATTTTGAAAACCAGAAAAAAATGATAAATATCCCGGCCCAGCATCATCAACATTGATAAATGCCCCGGCAGGAAGTGGTTAAAACGCGGCGCGTCTACGCAACTTTTCGTAAAATCAAACGTAAGCATACCGCGCAGCTACGGCATAAATTTGTGGCACAAGGCTTACGCATGGTTCAAAGTTACCCCATGTTTCGTGAGATCGGCTGCTGGTCTCAGTCCTCCAAAATCCTCTGTTTCTTCTTGTACCTGTCTCTTTGAAGGGTTAGCACTGCCTAAAGTAAGATGCCCAAATGCCCACCCTGTGATGTGTAGCAGCTTTTCTTTTTTTATCTGTTAGCCCTGTTCATGTCACCAAGTTCGGCACGGACAACCTACACATCATGTCTTGCTCGGATGACAAGTCCGTCCGCTGCTGGGATATCCCCAGCGAGATGGAGACGAGACGATACGACGAGCATGCCGATTATGTCCGATGTGGGACAGTCAGCACAGCCAGCAAGGACATCTGGCTGACCGGCTCCTATGACCACAAAGTGAAGTTGTTTGACCTGAGGACCCAAGCCAGCGTCTTGACGCTGGACCATGGTCATCCAGTGGAGAGCGTACTTATGTTCCCTGGTGGGGGAATGTTCTTGTCTTCAGGTAGATAACTTCTGTCATCAAAATAACTCCCGGACTTTTAAGCATTGTCCCCTAAATTGACGATGATGGTAAATTGTCAATAGTCAATAAAGTAAAGTGTTATGTAATAGGCCACAAATGCGTTAATCAATAAGCCGTATGCGAGTTAAATTTGAATAAAATCTGGTACGCTGAGTTATGTGATTGCACATAAACATAATGATTTGAATTCCCCAGACTGAAGACACTGTTGCTATACCTCGTGATTCGGGGCAAGCTTTTGCATAGCGACCACCATCTCTGGAATGGACTGGTTCCTTTGTGCCGGTGTCATCCATTGAAAGCAAAGTATTGTTGCAAGGCTTCTCTTATGTAACTAAGCAAAAGCTTGCCTGGAATCACGAGGTATAGCAACAGTGATTTTAGCATGGAGAATTCAAGTTGTTATGTTCACAGGAATTTTAATGCATGAGTGTACCAGATTTAGGTCAAAGTTAGCTCGCAAAAGGCTGATTAGAAGCCGCTCGAATCCTGCTTTAGGCAAAGTATGTTTTATCCTAACAGGTATGACTAATTTCACCGTCTGGAAATTGTTCACTAGAATTTATTAAAAATGTTTCTGAAACCTTATCTGTTAATAATACTAAAAAGTTACTGGCATTTAGCAACTCAGGAAATGATTCCACTGCATAGAATTATGTATAAAAACTAGAGCGCTGAAGCATGTACAAAGTGATGCTTGCTGGTCGCATCCATGTTTGTGCACAAACCTATGGCAAACCCCAAATTTGGTATGGCTTTTGTACGACTATTTGCATATCTGCGTCTGTATTCTTTTACGATGCCTCATCAAGCCAATGAGCGAAAACCTAAACACACAATCAGTAAGTGAGTGTTTCATATTGCTCTGGGTATCGCTATTGTATAAACGACCGAACAAGCAAACGCATGAGCGTATGCGCTGCAAATTTAATTTTGCTGTGACGTTTTGTAATCGGATTTTATCGGTACTCGATGCATGTTGCATTTAGAGTACATAATTCAAGATTTATTCTATATGATTTCGAGTGTTCTACAAGCTTGCACATGGATTCAACAGTCTGCAACGAGGGCGGTGTCAAATCTTCTCAACGAGAATGAGAAGGTAGCGCTGTAGTTATTTAATATAGCTCTGCGCTCCACTGTCCAGTAGATTACAGTGGCTGCATGTGCTACTAAATATCAGAGACATCAGTCGCTTTAAAAAACAGGCATTTTACTAAAGTCAAGAATAATGCTATTTTTATACAAACTATGGATCATTCCTTTCCTTGCTGTCAAGGTGGAAACTGCGTCAAGGTTTGGGATGCCCTCGCTGGGGGTAAGCTGCTCGCTGCCGTCAGCAATCACCACAAGACAATTACCAGCATGTGCTTCAATGGAGCTCGTAACAGATTGCTCACTGCATCCATTGATAGGTATGAGGCTGTTTATCAGTGAATGAAAATTCAGGATTGGAATTGGAATCTCTGCAATTCTTTGACAAGGCTGCGATCAAGGAATTGAATTGAATAGCAGGTTTGCATGGCTGCCATTTTACAGGCTAGTGCTTCTGTTCCATGGGGTATGCGCAAAGGAAGTTTCTCTGTGGAACAAAAGAGCTGCCCTGCAAGATGGCTACCACGCAAAGTCTCTATTGGCCATGTTTATTGCTGTGAACGGAAATTTAGATGACTGACAAGAAATGGAAGTAGAGTTCTTGTCGAACTGAAAGCGCCCTACTACAATTGTAACACTTAACTTTTTCCTTTGGACAATTCCCTTTCTGTCACCAATCAATCAGAACTCTACTTTGTCCACAAAGTTTGCTCCCGTGCTAATAAGCCACATGATCAGCTGTAGAAAAACGAATGGTTGGTATTCAGCGCATCCTGTCCAAGTGCATCACCACTTCAGATCGCAGCTGTACAAAAACTGCACGAGTTTCTGCATTTTGTAGCATCCCAAATACCTGAAATATTTCCCTTCCAATCTCTTCAATGCTCCTCGAAATCAACTCTCAGAAACATTTTGATGGCCTGCCTTGCCTCTAAGGATCCCAGAGATGTTGATTGATCCTTTTCCTTGATGCAGGCATGTCAAGGTGTACGATGTGGCCAGCTATAAGCTAGTTGCTAGCCTGGACTACCCAGCTCCTATCCTGTCCATGGGTGTTTCGGTAAGAAATAGGCGAGGTTCAGCAGCGTAGCCTCAGAAGGACGTGGAGATAAGCTTTCCTGGGTGTGGTGGGAAATTTAGACTGTATTGCACACACCTCAGTGGACAGAATTAGAAAAAGACCAGTCATGTGTGAAAGATAGAGACAAGAGTCTAAAAAAGCCTCCCCCCCCAAAAAAAGAGCTGATTATGGAGGAGCCTGAATCCCAGAAGACACCAGCGCTGGGACCATCCAATCCTCTCTTCAAGAGTGCTGTCATTGGAAGAGTTTATCTACAAAAACCCCTTTTTCTATGAGCGTTTTGAATCTGCTTAGATCCTTCCGTGTGCAAAGAAGATAAATGGGCATGTTCTTAATACTTAAGTTTTAAGATGGCAACAAGTCCTATTGAAAATAGCAGAGGCTGAGGGCGTTCATCAGTCTTGCCACGTTTCTGATGACCTTGCAGGATTTTGAAAATCTTAAAAGCGGTAAAGTGAATAGTCCCATCCTTTGAATTTCCAGTAATTCTCCTACCCCACCCTCATTATGTGTAGAGTTCTGAAGTGTGACATTTTGAACCAGGAAGTGTAGTGGAATCGCTCGTGCTGATTCACGCACTGGTTCTTGCGCTAATGCCCTTTACACACATGTAATTGTGCACACGACACAGTCACTGTGGTATTCTATAAACACAGTCATTGCTTTAGTACCATTTGCTAACATGATGTCCCACTTTGTATCTGGATCCGTTGCTCCATCAAAGTGGATATCTGCATCTCAACATTAAATGACCTTTGCAACCATAGGATAGCCCGTACATGCTGTGGTGTACGGCGCAGTTGGGATAGTGAGAAGCTGTTACAGTTTCAGAGGTGGGAGGAAAACCGCAGAAGAATGTTCTGGGTTAAACCTGTAAAATCAGGGCGGGACTGAAGACCCAATCCACATGTGGATCGAGCCGGGAGTCGAACTCGGGCCACAGAGTTGAAAGGCGAGGAACGGACCACTACCCATTCTTGACCTCCCAGAGTTGGTTTTTTTTTTTTATCAGAAATGGTGCCATTTTTATTCCCTCTACAGCCAACAGACAGCACAGTCGTGGTGGGTATGTCCTCAGGCCTGATATCCATCAGGCACAGGAAGCCAGAGCCCGGTGATGCCGAGAAAACCAAGAGGAAGCTGAAACTGAGTCGGGTATCTCATCGGTACTACGACAGAGGTCACAAAGTCTACACCGCTCAGAAGGTAAACAGCTAGAGACCAATTACATGTGTGCTGTGGACTTGCCACGTCAACCCCAAGTTGTGATTTTCTATCAAAGATAAAAGACAACCAAGCTGGGACTGTTGTGTTTTTATTGTAAACGTCTCAACTCTTTCACATTTGCCAGTCTTAATCGAATCCTCAACCCATTTTTATAACCAAAAAGACGTGCAAATCTGTCTTTGGCATTGTTCCTTTTCTTTTATTAATAACATGCATGCCCATGGAGAAGGAAAGGACTGCTGTTTATCACACAAAGGACTGCCGTTTCTGTTGATGGAATAAAAACGCATTTTGAAAAATCTGTATTGATTGTAGGGCGACATCGTCGTGAAGAAAGATCCCCGAGACTTCCTACAGAAGTATGACACAATGCTGAAGCGGTTTGAGCACTCCAAGGCCCTGGATGCAGCCCTGAAGGTACGGCCGATCTGACGCCTCCGAGCAGGAGTATCCCCCTCGCTGGTGGCAGCCCAGAGACTAGGCTGACCCTCTGCGTCAGTGGTGTCGTGTACTTGGCAAACCCCATCGGATACACTTTGCACAGATTTGCAGACTCATAAATCATAAAGGCATAATTTTTTGGGTTATAGGGGTGAATGTAAAGTTCCCTTTCTTTGGCCAGGCGAGGGATGACGCATTGATCATGCAGCCCCCCGAAGTTTCTTTGGTGGTAAGAAATCAAACATAGGGTACGTAAGGTTATTTCAACTGTGCCACTTTGATGTGTGAAGGCATGTAAGCGTGCAATAGAATGCGCAGCACGTGCATCTGTGTCACAAACAGCGCCCCCTAGTGTAAATATAATGTCTAGCCCTCTCTCTTCCACCTTTGCAATAGCCATTACAGTGAGGATTTGGGTGAGCGGTCCTTCATAAAGAATCCGATTTCCTTGAACGTTTTGTGTTGAGGTAATCCCAGGTCAACATGGCGATTGCTCTCTTACTGACCCAGGTAGCCCAACGTAGATCCGTCATTGTCGTAGGCAAAGGCCGAGGCACCGCACTCGGCATTTACAGTGTACGCAAGCTTTCATACATTAACCCTCCTTTGGTTTTACAGCACAAATGTGCACAAATGCCCACAGTCACTGGTGAGCATGTAGTTTCTATATGGAACTCCAACATGCACAGGTTCAGTGTGTACACTGTATATTGCCAGAACAAAATGACCCAGGGTCTTTTGTGCAGTCCTCTTCACTGCATTTGGTTTACTGCCCAGTTATGCACATGAGACAGTGAAGCACAGTTGTTGGGCAGCACAAAAGTGCAATCTG